GCACAGCACCGTAGCTACATAGCATTTGAAATGTAATATTCTAATCTTACCTTTTCCTTTAGGGTAGCTTCCCAGTCTAGTTATTGTGGAACTGTTTATGATCTTTTTTTCCAGGCAAATAGAAGGCTGTTCGCCTGTGAAGATCAAGAAAAGTACTAAAGTGACTTTCGTGTACCTTGACTCAGGTTTGGAACTGACTTGGGAATGAGAAAGAGGTGACTAGAGAGTGCGCGTGCTGATTTAGGGGAATAGGCTACTTGAACGCGTTACATCCTTGCATACGGTAGCTGCCCCTGCAGTGCGAGCGAAAGTCAAAACCGACCTGTCCTGCCGAAACGACACCATAATAGTCTTTTTCTCACGGCAAGAAACAAAAATAAGAAAATGCCCAAGTTGCTCTGGCCTCTTCTAATACTAAGCTCGAGCACTCTGGGTTTAATTTGATGAGGAACAACATATTTTTGTCAAAGTTACACAACTATTTTCCTACCTAGCGATACTCCAGGAGTAATAATAATAATGATAATAATAATGATAGTGATAATGATAATGATAATGATGATGATGATGATAATAATAATAACGGTTTAATGATGACTTTTCTACAGAGTAGTTCTACATTCTACATTGTCGTGGTGTAGAGGGTTGTGCGACTCGATGATCTCAAGAGCTGTACTGACTGGGGTGCATACCCCTGGTAGGTTCAATCACGTTAGAGAGGTCTTGAGTGAGAGTCCTGACAAAAGCAGTCCGGCAGTTTCCTGATCTGTAATATCAGGGTGGGCAGAAGACCAGCAACCTTCTCCCATAAAATACCAACTTGCTACAGAAACCACTTCAGTAACAAATACTATCCGGGATCGGACTAGTGCGAACTGCGACATCCCTGATGAGAGTTTCCTCCACTGGGTTGAAGCAACAATGACTGCTCCAGGTGAAAGCCGTAAGGAAGCCAGGAGCACGACAAGGCCGCATAAAAGGTCCCTCCTTACACCCAAAGACCACTTAAACATAGGATGCTGGAACGTCAGAACAAGGTATACGATCGGAAAGACAGCATTAGTCATGAAAAATATGAGAAGGTACAAACTGAGCATTCTCGGACTCAGCGAGGTAAGGTGGGCAGGTTTCGGAGAAGTGAAGACAACCACGGGAGAGACAATCATCTAGTCTGGACGTGACGAAGGACATCACAGTGGTGTCGCCCTAGCAATGAACGAGGAGACAAGGAAGTGCATGATGAAATGGAACCCCATCACAGACAGGATCGTCAGCGCACGGTTTTTCTGCAATTATGTGAAGATGACACTAATTCAGATCTACAGCCCCACGAATGACGCTAGCGATGAGGACAAGGATACATTCTAAGAGTTGCTCCAGAAGGAGATCGATGCCCCGCCACTCCATGACCTACTGATCGTGCTAGGAGATGCAAATACCAAGGTAGGATCTGACAACACTGGCTGGGAAGGCACCATGGGTAACGAAGGACTTGGCACTATGAATGATAATGGCCTAAGATCTGCATCTCTTTGCGCTGAGAACAGTCTTGTCATTGAAAACACTTGTTTCAAGCACAGACATCCACACGTATACGTGGACATCACCAAATGGCCATGACAGAAACCAGATCGACCATGTGGCGATCCGAAGAAGATTCAGGAGATCGCTACCGGATGTCAGAACACAGCGAGGAACAGACGCAGCAAGTGACCATCACCTTGTCCGATGCAAGATACGCCTGAAGCTGGCAAGGAAAAGAAAGAAACAAAAGTCAAGGACCATCTATGACATTGCGAAGCTAAAAAATCCTTTGCACAAGCGGAGCTTCAGCATAGCCCTGAAGAATCGCTTTGAGGCTCTAAACAATGATCACCAAAGTGTGGATTATGCATGGACATGGTACAAAGACATCCATCGCACGACGGCAACTGAGACACTTGGACAAAGACAAAGGTCTCGGAAGGACTGATTGAGCCCCACCACCTGGAGTTTTTTCGAAGTACGACGGAAGCTAAAACAGAGCATTTTGAGGTACCGCTCGGAACGAGTGAGGGAAACCAGACAGCGGATGTACCAAATGAAAGACCAGGAAGTGAAAAAGAGAGCACGAGCAGACAAGAGGAGAGCCTTGGAAAGAGTCGTGGGAGAGGCGAAAAGAGCAGCGCACCAAAACAATCTGAAAGAGCTCTACACCAAAACGAAGCTACTAAGTGGGTGCCTCAAGAAGCCAAGCACTGGAATACGGACGAAAGATGGTAAAGTCATCACCACAGAGAAAGAAGTGTTTGAAAGGAGGAAAGAGCACTTTTATGAGATCTTGAATGTGACCTGTGAAGAAACCGATCTTCCTGAAGGGTGTCAGCGCGGCGACTGCGAAGATCCCATAGAGATGGACACTGACCCCTTTACAATCCAAGAACTGAGACAAGTCATAACTTGGTTGAAGAACGGTAAAGCACCCGGTGTGGATAACATTAGTGCAGAAATGCTAATAATTGCCCCGGACCAGCTTCTGAATATTTGCAATCAGACTCTCGATCACTGTCAAGCACCATCTGACAGGAAGAGAGCTCTCTTGGCCAAAATACCCAAGAAAGGTGATCCGTCTATTTGTGACAACTATCGAGGGATATCCTTACTTTCAGTACCATACAAAGTCTTCTGCAGAATGCTCCTGATGAGGATGCAGGATGGAGTTGAGAAGAAATCACGGCAAGAGCAGGCTGCCTACCGAAGAGGAAGAGGGACAACTGAACAGATTTTCATCCTCAGGAATATCTTAGAACAGAGTGCTGAATGGCAAACACCCTTGTACATTGCTTTCATCGATTTCAAGAAGGCCTTTGATAGTGTGAGAAGAGACAAGCTCTGGAACATTCTCAGACATTATGGAATTCCTGACAACTTCGTCGACATCATACAAGAGCTTTATGATGGAAGCACCTGTTGCGTTGTTGAAAACGGACGTACATCAGATTGGTTTCCTGTAGAGACAGGAGTCAAGCAGGGCTATGTTATGCCAGGTTTTCTCTTCAACATCATTATCGACTGGGTAATGAGGAACACCACCAATGTAAGGAGAGGCCTGAGGTGGAAGTTCACCACGGTCCTAGAGGACCTAGACTATGCAGATGACATAGCCCTGCTCTCCAGCTGGCACAAAGATCTTCAAGAGAAGTTCAGCCGCCTCCATCAGGTCTCAAGGTATACCGGACTCTGTATCAACACCACCAAGACAAAGGTGCTACGAACAA